TCTCTCTCTCTCTCTCTCTCTCTCTCTCTCTCTCTCTCTCTCTCTCTCTCACTCACTCACTCTCCCCTCCCTCTCCACTAACCCCTACATTAAGATCTTTACCGAAATTTAAGGTCAAAATACATATAAATAAGTAGTTTTCGCTAAAAGCGAGAGTGAAAAACGATGGGGAAAGTGATTGTGTGTACAAAACAGGTATGTATTGTATGTTAAATAGGGTTAAACCACCCGTTCCTTTACCACTTGCCTTTTCGTTGCAAATTATATATTTATTTTTAATTCACAATGTACATTTTATAAAAAGTTGATAATAACGTTAATTTATCATGGTGCATAACTTTATTGTGTACTAAAAAGTTACTATTGTTCTGTAATTAATTAATTAATTTTAATTTGCGTGTGTAAAAATTAATAATTGCACTTCTACGTAGAGTTATAAATAGTATATTTTATACTTTATTTTATTTATAAAACTTACCTAAATAAGATAATTATATCTGGCGGCAAATGTTTTACTGATGATTAAATAAGCTATATTGACCTGACATAACTCTAGACATTATATAACTTTGTCTAGCCTTAACCTAATATTAATATTATATAATATTTAAAACCATAAATAAGTTTAATTTAAAGATGTTTATATATTTATAAAATCAGTTAATAAGTGGTTTACTTTCCATACTTTTAATATTATAATTTATAAAATATTTAATACAAATTTTGAATATTATGCAATATTTTAAATAAATAATTAAAACATATGCTATTATTTTTAAATAAAGTTTTTTATTTCAATTTTTAGCAAAAAAAGCTGAATATTTTGGGATTTTCTTAAAAGACATCAATATATAAATCATGTAATAAATAGTTGAATAAATATAATATGTTTTATAATTTGGATTTTATATAAAACAATAAATACAGATAATTATTTATATAAATTATATGTTGGTGTGTTCAAATACAATTATATGTGCTATATCAAGATGATCTAGTGGAAGTTTTCAATTTGCTGTAATACTAAATCAGTTTTTAATTTAATTAATAGCGAATTAATTGAAATTATTTATTATTATTGCATTCAAACACATTCTTCATTATAAATATTATTATAATATATTTATAATTGGTTTTATAATTATTTTATTAATTATAACTAATATTAATTAATAATAATATATATAATTAATGCATTTTATGTTTAATATAAAAGCAAAAATACAAAAAAAAAATATAATACTTGAAATTATAATTCAATGTTATTAGTTTATAATAAACTGCAGTTTTAATTATACAAATTATTTAATTTTATTAAAGCAACATAAAATGTGCAAGATTATTTGCAAATAGTTATAATGTTATTTTCCACTTAAACATAACATTTAATTATTTTTAATTAGAGATTATAAGTTATAACACAAAAAGTGTCCCATTTTTCTCTATTAAATATTTATATATAAAAATTGTTTATACATTAAAATTATATAATTGAAATATACAGTACATTATCGCTATATATCAGTGTATAAATAATAACAATTTCACCATTTAGTTTTACACGGATATATCACATATTATATTTATAAATGTTTTATTTATTATCAATTATAATCTACTTATATTTCATTTATAATTGTGTTAAATATAAATAAAATGATCGTTTTATTTGGTTTTTATTGTGAACAATACCCACAACGCGTGTACATAATAGCGACATGTTTTTAACTATAAATAATTATATTTAGGTTTAATCTTGAATTATAAATACAAAAAATTATTATTATCATCGTCAATTTATATTTATCTATAAATAGCTGACATAATAATTAAATAATCCACATTCCGGGGATAATTATGAGGGTGGTTTAGTGTCAGTACCGGTGCACTGTACGCAACCCATGGCCGGCACAACTCTACCGCCGGATTTCCTATGATTTTTCCGATGATTATTACCGGCAGTCCTATCCCTAGTATTTGTATCATCGGTACCATTACTGGTGTTACCATTACTCGACCCGTCGGGTCCGTCGGCAGCGGCACTATCGCTGTGGTCCCGGCGCTGACAGTCGTAATCGCCGCTAGTAATCGCTTTAATAGCTTTGCGCAATTGAGCCGACTTGTGCGGCCATTGCATTACATAGGTGACCCGGTGCCGCCCGGTGCTCGCATCTGTACGGCCTATGATAAAGTACCGGCGCTGTTTGGGTTGGTTGTCGTCGGTGGTGGTGCCGGTGACTGATCCAGTGTTTGAGTCGTCGGTTTGGTTGAGTATTTTGTTGATAATTGTACGGTTGGCCGACAGTATGACCGCCGGCGCTGAGGCTCCTCCCGGCGCTGCCGGCGATAGCGAGCCCTGTATTAGTCGATAGTTACGTACTTTTAACTCGTTTCGGTTGGCGACGATTGGATACAGACGGGCCTTTAGTACTAGTTATTTGGATTTAAATTTTAAAATTTAATAACTTCTTATAATATGTATATAATGCACATTATTTAATATAAATATGAATTTCTAATTAATATACAGTATAATAACTTGCTAATACTTATCACTAATACCCTGATCAATTTATAGCAAACAATATTAACCATGATTACACTAGTAATGGCTATATTTTACATACTGAATAAATCAATTTGCGTGAAACTGTTTATACAAAAACTGTATTATAAAAATTTTCTTATTTCTATATGTAACTGCTATACAGGTATATTATATACTGTATTTATTTATTACTATTATTTCATTTCAAATGGTTTAGAATCAATGCAATTTATTTTTACATTCAATTAAACATGATTTTATGTTTGCATTTGTCTATTAGAGAGAGAGAGAGAGAGAGAGAGAGAGAGAGAGAGAGAGAGAGAGAGACTATAAGTATTATATGAGTTGTTTATAAAATATTCAACAAATCGTAAGAAAACATCATAACTTATTAAGACGTTTGTAATAAATGAGTGTCTCTTAAGTCTAACGGCAAGTATTTTAGTATTTTTTTTGCAAAGAAATATATTTATGATATGAAATTCATAAATCTCTGTCTTTTACCCTAATTTATTATTTAATAAGATCTCTCNTCTCTCTCTCTCTCTCTCTCTCTCTCTCTCTCTCTGAGCATAATATACAAGAATATTCTGCAAAAGCATTAGTATTATTATATTATAATACAAACCAATGCAAGCAAAACATTTTTAAAATGATCCGTTTTAGTTTTGTTCACAAAATCATAAAAATGTATGTAAATTACCCTACATACTGCGAGTTATAAGCAAATGGTAATTTATTCATAGCACTATTCTAGCTATGCGTAATAAATTCCTAAAATTATTCTCTTATTATATACTAAACGCTATTTTCCACATGGGTGAAATGATATAAAATTGGGCTAACATTATTATTATATGGCAAAAAGACATAAATTTATACATAATAAAAATCTATCATACTTTATATAAAATAAATTTTATAAACTACACTCTAATAAATTATCTAAATCCATTATAATTCAAAGTGTTTATGTTGAATTATAAACAAATAAAAGTATAGCACGACAAAACATTTATAGTAAATTACTCGATAAACATGGTAAAAACAACTTAAAATACTATGGTAAAAATAATCAACACTCACTCCATTCCGATCGGCAGAAGTTAGCAATAATATCGTTATAGAGTTGGCGTTGATCTCTACTCCACTTACGGGGCGGGCGTTGATCGGCCGCACCGGTGGCCGGTGTTGGGGCGGTCATAGCCTGATCCACTTGGGGCTCGTCAATTAACCTAGGTGTCTGCGAATCCAACTGCACAGACCTCTGCAAATGACCCGGCTGCGGCTGGTAGATAGTCTCCTTGGGCACACCCGGTGGCACCTCTACCGTTTGCATGCGGCCCTGTTTTTTGCCCTTTTTACCCTGGTTATTATTATGATGGCCGCCCTTACGGTTATGATGGCGGTCGCCCTTCCGGTGCTTATTCTCGGTGTGTTGGTTAGTGGCGATCGGCTTTTTGTCGGCCACCAATTGTTGACCATCCGGTGCTGCTGTCGGGGGCGCCGGGGCTGAGTGTTGGGCTTGAATGCACATGTCGTTGTCAATGGGAAATTGGCCGCACTCTACGATTTTAGGCCACGGGTAGCCATAGTTGAGCATCACGTGCTCGCACGAGCTCTGCACCGATACGCATAGGGAACGACACGGCGGTATGGGATGGTCGAGACATCTGGTAAGTTATCGGGATATAAATTTTTACCATATTTTAGTAATTTTATGAGGTGGATGTCATTTAAACAGGTAAATTCATAGTTAGAATATTAATAATCAGATATTATTATTATATGACTTTATTTGGAAATTGATATAGTTCTATAAAGCATCACTTGTGTCCTTGATCTTGGTAATATAATGCCAAATAATAATAATATTGCATGCTATTTATTTACTGTACAATCGATTGACCTTGATAATAAAATTGACCATAATTACTGCATGTTTTAACAATTACATATCAATTAATCCCTAAATTTTTAGCTATTAAATACACCTAATTTGATATCATTTTATTGCAAAAAACAAAACAAAATAACACCAAATACTTACACCGGGCTAAACAGGGAGCACAGGAACAGCTGTGTGTCCGGGTGACAATTGAGCTGGGACAATGGCACCCAGCTCTGTGCCTGTTGGGACACCTCGGTCAACGTATCATGATTCAATAGGTTGGGTAAACGCATCTTAGTGTAGCCAATACCCTGGCATAGGGTCACATTAGTTGGTATGTCCACACATACGGCCCCGTTCTGTTGCTGTGGCGACGATGATCTAGATGATTGTTTATGTTAGAATTTGATATTGTAATTTGATTGTTAATTTGTATTTGCTAAATAAAATTGCTGAATGATTATTTAATTGTAATTTTGTAATTAATTCTAAATTAGTTGCTATTAATGTAATACTTGTATTATTTATATTGTCATAGTTAAATTTAAGAGAGAGAGAGAGAGAGAGAGAGTTTAACTTGATACTTTTAAAACTTATTTAATTTAATAGGTCCAAAAACTC